ATTAACACCGCTGGGCGTGATTTCTAAAACTTCATTCCCTGCTTTCACACTACCAAAATAAAATTAGTAGGACTCCTGCGTCGGTATCTAAAAGCCGTATCTGGTCTACGGTGCTTCTTGCTTCTTGTGTTTTCCAACTTATTTTATTTCAACCTTTGCTTCGTTTCATGATAATTCGGGTGTGCGTTCCTGTCGTTCCTATCATAAAGGTAATTGCTCTGTCGGTGTCGCCAATTCTGATATCTAAATCATAATCGTTCCGATTTAAAGTTTCTTTTGCTGCCGATGAATGTTGAAAATACACACCGCCCCAAACAGCTAGATCTGCTTCTGCTGTTATGTTCCTGTATTATTGGAAGTAAGATTATTCACCACTGCGTTAAGTGTCGTTTAATTGTAAAGCAATGCTGCCAGTAGTCGGGTCGGTTGTTGTATTCGCTTCTAATGAAAGGCTTGTCTCTTCAGTGATAGTACATTTAATGACTTACCAGCGTCTGCTCGTTGAACAACCTACCATTAGTATCTACATAAATGTCACCAATAAATGTAGCAATACCATTAAACCCACCATCATTTCCGGGTTTTTTCCGTCTTCCTACAAGTTCTGGCCGGCCGCAAGAGTTTGATCCAGGCCTCGTTTCTTTAGAGGCTGAAACCCAACAGTATGTGGTGTTGGGAATTTTTCCGTCCTTCACATCCCAAACCAAAGGGCGCCTCTGGGTGGAGTTATTTAAGAAACGACGACATTTAGAACGATTATAGCCACCTATTCAAATCTATTCAAACCTAAGAATAGACCAATCATAGTATCATTTCAACAAAAAATATTATTCTTGCTTCTTATTTACTACCTTATGCCTAGACCTTCTTATTTTGGATATTTTATTAGAACTGACCACTTCCAGTTTCTCTTGTTGGGGTTTCTGGCTTGGGTGTTGTGGGTTTCTATCGGGTGGGGCATGATATGGGGTTGCGTATGCAACTTCCTAGGGGGGGGGGGGGGTGCGTGGTGCCGTAGTATGGGTTCTTCAGGTGCGTCTTGGGTTGGGTTTTGTTGGCGAGTTGAAGGTTGAGACATAGGTTGTTGTGGTGTGGGTCTTCAGGTGGCCTAGGGGGGTTTTTGCAAGGTTAGAAAATGGCAATGGTAGAGGCAAACTAAGATACACCCCCAACCCCAAACGCTAGACCCTACTAAGGGACCATGAGACTACCTTGAGACTGGGGCTTGTACCTTTGAATCAACCAGCCATATAATGACCCTTGCGTTGTTTGGGGTATGTAAGAGGTATGTAAGGGGTCCCGTTACCCTCGGAAACTCAAAACCCTAAAAAAAGCCTAAAACACCGCCAAAAAACTAAACCATACAGCTACGATTTTCTCCTGCGCTGGAAGGCCCTCATACATCAGAACCATTTGAAGAAGGTAAGTGACCATATTCAGGGGCCATGCAACTACCCTAAGTACAGTGCACATTGGCCGGGAAGTATGTGTCAGCGTGTGGTCTAGGCAGGTTTCAGGGGCGGGCGCGCTTGTTGTTTGGGGTTCAGCCGGGATTCGGTGTCCAAGAAAAATAGATAAGCGGGGCCTTTGCATTTAAATGGATATCTTGGGTAGTGAACATGAATCAGAACTAGCAAGGGACCCTAAGCCCTATATCCGAAACCCTGACAAGATTACGAGGGGGGCGACATTGGTCGATGTCGCTTCTTCTGTCTTGCAGGGTTTAGGGTGTAGGGTTTAGGCTTTAGCAGGTCTTTTAAAATGAAGGGTTGCATGGAGAGACGGACTCAGTGGGGTTAGGGCTTAGGGGTTAGGGTTTAGGGTTTTAGGTTTTTGGGTGTCGGTTTTAGGACCCTCTTAGGGTGGTTGCATGGGCTGTTCATATATGGGAGCCCGCTCCCAACCCTAGCCCTAAACCCTAAACCCTAAACCCTAAACCCTAATCCCTAATCCCTAATCCCTAATCCCTAAGCCTGACTAGCAACCCTAAACCCTAAACCCTAAACACTAAACCCTAAACCCTAAACCCTAAACCCTGAACCCCCCCCCCCCCCCAACACCCGAGCGAAATCTGAGCTGGGCATCTGAGAGCCCGTGATCTCGGTCTGGGACTCGTGGGTCGTTGTGTTGTTCCTTAGGCGCAAACGTTCTTCGATTGCTTTTGTGCGTATGGGTTTATGTTTAGGGTTTTGGGGTTCGATTGTTTTTTTGAGCGTATGGGTTTATGTTTAGGGGTTTGGGGTTTCGGGTTTAGGGGTTTAGGATCCGCCGACCCTGGCGGCGTGTTGGATGGGAAAAGGAGGTGAAAACCTCCCTCTTTCCCTCCTTACCCCCCCCAAAACGCGGGAGGGCCGGCGGGGGCGGGGGCGGGGGGGTAGGCCGGGCCAGCTTTCATGGAGGGTGAGGCCACACACCGCATAAACTCACGGAAAAAACCCACCCCAACCCCCCCTACCCCCCCCCTCCCGGTTGCTGGGCTAAGTGATGGGGGCTTGCTTAAGCCCAACGTCTTTCTGTAGCAGCACCCCAACCCCCTCCCCCAACCCCCCCCCCTGCCCCCCCCCCCCCCCCCCCCCCCCCCCCCCCCCCGCCCCCCCCCCCCCCTCTCCGGTTGTTGGGCTTGAATTGATGGGGCTGCCCTCCTTTAAGCTGGCTTCAGCTCCTGTTTGGGTCCTGGTGCTACCCCCTACCCCCCCCCCCCCAACGTTTCACAGAGGCTCAAGCAAATCAACTTTTGGCATCCTTTGAGCTGACGAGCGCGTTTAAACCTTTCAACTATGCTCCAGCGGGGTCGGCGGCTTGAGCCGGAGGCTCTTAAATTTTAGGATGGTTTAGGGGTTCAGGGTCTCGTGTGTATGAGTTTTGTGTCCACAGGTTAAGGGCTTAGGCTTTCAGGACCAGGGCGTGTTCAAAATCAAAACTGCGCCTACCCTGGAAACAGCCTTCACGCTGCAGATCCTCAACCCTGCCCCCTGCAAGAAAAGACACCGACGAAGAGCTTAGCCCCCAGACTGAAGGGTTTGGCTTCCTGTAGTTCAGAGTTCACAAACCCTATAGGGTTTAGGGTTTATAAAGTCTAAAGCCCAAGCCCTAAACCCATAAAAACGTAAACCCCTCAACCCCCCTAAACCCTAGCGCTCTCCTCGTCGAGGCTCCGCCGTGCCAGCTCAGCACTCAGTGCCTGGGCCTCTTCGTGAAGGGCTGCGTAGCTCAACCTTTGTAAGATGCGGGGAATCTTGGGGTAGTTACATGGTCCCTTAGTAAGGGGCCCTTAAAAAGGGGACCCCTTATATTTACCCTATATAACCCAAGGGCTCATACATCAGAAACTGCCCTGAGAGGAGAAGATGGTTTAGGGGGGGTCGGTTTCTGTCCCTGCGCCTAAAGCAAGGTGCACTTGGGCATTAATGCGAATATACTGCTTTCGGAGGCCAAAGTCAGGTTGGCCGCTAAACCCTAAACACCCTAAAACCGTAAACCCTAAACCCTAAACCCTAAACCTCAGGGAGTATGGCACCCTGGTACCACCACAGCTACTGTGCTCAGCAAACACATCGGCACGAGTCCGGAAACCAGGAGAAGCTTCCGGAGTATTTTCGAATTTGGGACCCTAAACCCAAAACCCAAAACCCTAAGCCCTAAACCCTAGACCCTAAACCCAGTCACCAAGTGAAGAATCAAGGGCCTGCGGTATCTCGAAGCTTTGGTGCGTGTCATTGAGGGGTTCGGGCCGGGTGAGGCACAGTTGAGCTAGCTTGAACTGGACAATCCCTTGTTCATCCACCCTCAATAGCCCCCAATGCCCCTAAACCCTAAACCCCGAAACCCTAAACTCTAAACCCTTAACCCTACATAGATTGTCCCCCTGTATTTAATGCAGGCAGCTATCTTCGGTGAGCAAGGCCTAAACCAGCTTCAAGCCACTGACCCTCTAGGCAAATAGGGCCTATTTAAGTAGGGTTTAGGGCTTATATGGGGTTTAGGGGTACTTGTACCTTAGACTTTGGCACACTTCCCTTTAATCACAAAGCCCTAAGGGTCCATGTACCTCATCATTACATGCTTGGGCCCAAAAAATCCCTATGTAGGAGGTGCTAAACCGTCCCCAAGTATTCCCTACTTAGGTACATGGACCCTTGGCGAAGCCCTAAACCCTAAACCCTAAACCCTAAACCCTCAACCGTAAGTTGGACTCAGGGTCTTGGGAAGTAGATTTACAAGTATCTTGCCTAAGGCAGGCGAATATAGGAGTCGGAATAATTACGACTTCTATTCCCCCTACGATCCCTCTAAAATTATGCTATAATAACCCCCCCACTCCCCCCCCCCCCCCCAAAAAAAAAAAAAAAAAACGAATCTAATCATCAAGGCCCCTAGACTACATCTATGCAAGCTCCTACTTCGGTCTTCCACCCAAAAGGGCTCCCTCAATTTACTCCTACCATGCCCCCAGTTGCCCTAAACCCTAAACCCTAAACCCTAAACCCTAAACCCTAAACCCTAAGTTGCCCTAAGGGTTCTGTACAAGGGTTCCCAAAGAAGGGCACAAGTCCAAGGTAGAATGCCTTGAGCAAACCCTCCTATTTTAAACTCAAGGGATTAAGACTCGTAACCCCTACGGTTGTGCCCCTAAAGATTCCCCTTAATACACTACCTGAAGTATCCTAAAAAACACCCAACTACTCCAAGGGTACAACCTTAATCTTAAGGGTCCAAGGTACAACCCCTTGAGAAACCATAAACCCTAAACCCTAGACCCCAAACCCTAAACCCTTGAGGGTCCAAGCTACAACCCTACTCTGGGTCCTAGAAACCCTATTACTCTAAACTCCTTGCAAAAATGCAAAGGGTACCCCTGTTGGTCTAAAGGGGCTCAGAAGGGACCCTAAACAGCAAAAAAAGAGAATAAGGGCCTACTCTGGGTCCTAGAAACCCCTAAACCCTAAACCCTAAACCCTAAACCCTAAACTACCATAAACCCCATTGTTCTAACCTCCTTTCTAAAAATGCAGGCGCTGCAGCTGTAATTCGGCGAGTTCACCTCGGAGCACTTCGCCCTGGCTGGGAACCGGATCGGCAGCACAAGCCGTGGCTTAGGGTTTAGGGTTTAGGGCTTGGGGCTTAGGTTTTAGCGTTTAGAGTTTAGGGTTCGGGCTTAGGGCTTAGGGCTTAGGGCTTAGGGCTTAGGGCTTTGGGCTTAGGGCTTAGGGCTGAGGGCTTAGGGCTTAGGGTTTAGGGTTTAGGCCTCCTAAACCCTAAAACCCTAAACCCCCTAATCGGTTGTCGAGGCTGGGATGCGGTGGTGTCCGCCCCGGAAGGCGAAACAGATACAGTACTCAAACCATAAGCTACAGGGGCCTGTCTCTGTGTAACTAGATGGTATGACAAGCCAGTAGGCGAAAGCGCATACCGAAGAAAACTTTGTGGTTGAGTGCCTCTTTGTAGTTTGTGGGTATTCTGGTTAGCCTACATGATGCAAGTTTAGGGATTCTTGGGTAAAGCAAGAATGGTAAGTGGTAGCCCAGCATGGTAAGGGCCCCCTTGTTGGGAGTTTAGGGTTTAGGGTTATGGGGTAACCACCGTATCACTGGGCTACCAAACTAGTTTAGGTTAGGGCCATTCAAGGCATTCAGACTCGCACCCCTACGGTTGTACCCCTACAGATGTCCCTTAATATACTCGTAGTATGGCCCTCATATTGCCTTAGGGATCTTAACAAAGGGCCCCAAACCCAAGGACATAACCTTAGGGGTCTGAGGTAGAGTAAACCCCAAACCCCAAACCCCAAACCCCAAACCCTAAACCCTAAACCCTAAACCTAAACAGTCCCCTGAGCCAGTTGCCTGCTGCTGCAGCTGGCCGATCTCGCTGCGCAGACCGCTGCTCACACTGCGCTCGTGGCTAAGCTCCTCTTCACACGGCCCATATCCCTGTAGGGTTTAGGGTTTAGGGTTTAGGGTTTTAGGGTTTTAGGGTTTTAGGGTTTTAGGGTTTTAGGGTTTTAGGGTTTTAGGGTTTTAGGGTTTTAGGGTCACCCCCCGTCCCCAAATCCCGAAGTCTGAGGTCTGACTCGTATTGGGCTTAGGGTCTAAGGATTAGGGTTTAGGGCTATGCACTGATATTCTAAACCCTGAATCCCGTGAAGCCCTACTACCCTCAAGCCCGAAGCCGTAGGTTCAGAAACCTCAACACCCAAAGGCCGGAGGTCGTTCTGATTCTTCTGGGCTTAGGTCCAATACCCGGGCCACAAAAAGTGGGCGAGGACATATGGTGAGACAAGCTTGAAACACCCGCCTGAAGCTAAACGTTCACCTACCCTAAACCCTAAACCCTACAAGAGAACCCTTGGAGGATCCGAAAAGTAAATCCCTGCGAGTGTTCCGAAGAATGACGCAACAGTAGTATAGGGTACGATTTTTGTTTATTTTTTTTGAGGGGGGGGGGGGGCTCTACTTCTTGGATCCTCCCAGAAGTTTGGGCTAAAACCCTAAACCCTAAACCCTAAACCCTAAACCCTAAACCCCAGCAAGGGAGCTGAAGGACTTCACAGCGTCCTCCTCGAGCTGGATCACCTTCCTCTTCTCTTCCTGCACACTGTCGGTCAAGTTGGCGATCCTGAGATTGCGGTTCGCAAGCTGAGAGTTTAGGGTGTAGGGTCTCTCTTATAAACAGGCATCTTTACTTCTTAGTAGATACCCACCCCGAAACCTACTGAACCCTAAACTCTAAACCCCAACCCTAAAACCCAAAACCCTAAACCCATGTTGCTAAACCCAAAACCGTAAACCCTTAAACCCTTAAACCCTTAAACCCTAAATCCTAAACCCTTAAACCCTAAACCCTAAACCCTAAACCCTAAGCGTCAGCCCAAGAGCTGCTCATGGAGCTCGCTGGCCTTCGCTTCCTGCACTTGGGGTCTTGGTGGCCCAGGAACCAAGGGTTTAGGGTTTAGGGTTTAGGGTTTAGGGTTTAGGGTTTAGGAAGGGAAACCTAAAGGGCAAAAAATGTAACAGGGTAGCACGGGGCTATCAAGCTTGCAGGCTTTGAGAGTTTTGTGGTTTGCTCACTACACCGCTAACCCCCAAACGGTCCAGGCCTATGACATTATGACTTGGCTGACTTCTGAACCCTTCCTAATAGTTTGACTTCTAGGCTCCTTATTGTAGTTTCTATAAAAGCTCAAAAGGTTAAAGCCCTAAGAGCCAGCCAGACGAAAGCCAAGTACCGGGTTTAGAAAGTGTGTTCAGATATCGTGTGTACCTGATGCAATCTAGGATAGCCCTTCGAACCCACTGAACAAATCTTCCTGAATATGATCCTCTTAAACCCAATAAGGGAAAACATGAAAAGTCTCAAATGTCTGCCGAGCAATAAGTAGCCAAAGGCCCTCCCTTTGGTCCTCTCTATAGGCAGCCCCCCCCCCCCCCCGCCCACCTGTTGGGCTTAGGGTTTAGGGGTACCCAAAACAAAAAACCCAAAACTCCAAACACCCTAAACCCGAAACCCTAAACCCTAAACCCTAAACCCTCCCCAAAAAAGCTGCACTTGGCAATCTCGGGAAGCGGTCCCACTCCACAAGCTGATTCCGGAGCGTCTGGGACGCCTGCAGCGCCCATGGGAAGAGTGCAGAGGGCGTGGGGGCTTTAGGGGCTCCCGATGCCCTAAGCTCATGTAGGATTTAGGGTTTTGGTTTTAGAGTTTTGGGCTTAAGGGTAGCCAAAGCCTACCCTCAGGGTCCATGTACCTCAATTGTAGCCCATAACGGAACCACTTCAAATGTCTAGTGCAGCCTATTTTTGGTACATGGACCCTTGCGGTTAGGCACCTGGTCGAAAGGAAACAGAAGGGGGCTTAGGGTTTGGTGTATTTCTTTTTGGGAGAGGGGGAGCTAGGTAAACCTTTTAAAGCCTGTAACCTTGTGGTTTACAAGATTTCGGTCCGCCCCAAATGCTACGCTCTGATGCAAAATTACAGGGTTTAGAGACCCTAAACCCTAAACGCCCTAAACCCTAGGCCCTAAACCCGAGGTTTAGGGCGCTCTAGGGCGCTTGGCTTTTAGTGTTGGGGTTGTTGAGCGCCAGCCCCCTGCAGGCTAGTCCACAAAGACAGCGAAGAGAGCTGCAACACGAGGCAGCGCAAGCTTGGTTTCAGGTTCAGGGTTGCGGGTGAAGATGTGAGGGTGAACATCAAACAACCGTACGCCGTAAGCATCGCAAACCATGACCTTGCTATGCACCATAAACTTGGGATGTTCCCCCATATACTAACAGTCCTGGAATGGGTTCTAATACCCACCCATTGGAACCTCTCTTAAGGACTGTTAGTACAGGAGGGAATATCCCGAGTTCCGGAAACCTAAAAACATAAGGGTCCATGTACCATATTCTTATATACTTGGGTCCAAAAGTCCCTATATAGCCCTGACCCTTAGGGAAACCTAAAACCCCAAAACACCAACCAATCAACTAAAAAGAGCCTCAAGACCCAAACCCAAGGACAGAAGCCCTTAACCCTAAGCCAAAAAAGGCAACACAAACAAACAATACAACTAAACATGAAATGAAGTAAACGCCAAACCCCACCCAGTCCACAGAAAGAACAGAACCAAAACAGCACGCAAACCCAACAAACAACTAAACCCCAAACCTAAAAGCCCACACATCAAACACCTGAACCCAAACTCAAAAAACCTAAACCCCTAACCCCCAAGCAAACCCTAAACCCCTTATAAACCCTTAACCCCCGAAACCTACCCCCCCCCCCCCCCCCACCAAAAAAAACAACAACATTTCGACCATAAACCCTAAACCCTAAACCACAACAACCTAAACGACTGAACCCTAAACCCAAAACCACCAAAAAGCTACGCGAATCAGGGGATCCTCCTTCTGCTGCTCGAGCTCCTCAGACAGGCTTCGGTACTCCTGCAACAGGGGGGGAGCCGCGCTTCGGGTTAGGGTTTAGGGTTTAGGGACTAGAACAAAAGAGGACTGAGTGAGGCTTTGCCGTTGCCTGTGCCTTTGCCTCAACTTCTGAAAGTCGGACATGCCACATCTAATCTGACTGTAGGTACATGTGAGTACCAAACGCGACACTCCCAAAACCCTAAGCCCTAGACGCGCAATAGGGTGCAAGGGCGGGAGTTCCAGCCACAAGAACTTTCCTACAATCCTAAACCCTAAACCCTGGACCCTAAACCCTAAACATCCACAAGATGCTGTACCCCGGCTCCTCCCGTTGTTGTTGCAGTTGTTGCTGCTGCCGTTCGATCACCGCCTGGCTTGAAAGAGCAGAAGCCTTACGGTATCTCTCTTTTTCAGGGTTTAGGGTTTAGGGCTTGGGGGTTCTGGGCTTCAGTGGACAACTGCGTGGCATCCCATGTCGAAGTGTCCGCTCCATTTGTTTGCAACGGCCGTAAACACCAGGGAAGTGTACCTACGAGAGCCGAATGAGAACTACCACGGCTGCACCCTGGGAAGCATAAGCTACACTACCCCCAAAGAACAAAAAAACACCTGCATTCCAATGAAATTATTATAAAAAAAAAAAACCTACAGCCAGAATACCCATGAAACAAATAGTTTGCTAAGACACCCTGAACGACTGCAAGGCCAGATAGGAATCCCGGCGCATCAGCCCAAAACTATGCAGCAGCCGGATTTGGACTGAGGGTTTAGGATTTCTAAGGCAACAAGGTTTCATGGAGTCATGAAGACACGTGATGCAAGGAATTTGTTTGCAAATGCTACTGAACAGCCGAGGCCCTGCATGGGTCAAAATTCACAACTGTCTGCGCAAAGGACTAGGGTGTTCTCTTTTGGGAGGGTTTAGGGTTTAGGGTTTAGGGTTTAGGGTTTAGGGTTTAGGGTTTGCCGGGTATGTAACGCAAGGTCCCGAATCCCACTACTCCATATGGCTCCTCAAGCCTCCCCAAGGTTTGTTAGGCACCTCGCCCTCTCGGACTCCCTCCCTTACGAACCCTGTAAAGGGATTGTAGTACCCTAAACCCTAAACCCTAAACCGTAAACCCTAAACCCTAAACCCTAAACCCTAAACCCTAAGGGAATACATACCAGGAACAGGCCCGAAAACTGGAAAACCCCGCAGCCCAAACCTTCTGCACACGTACCACGGTGGCAGCGCCTGGTGTGCCTCGATTTCCATTTTTTGCTGCTCGATTTGGGCTTTCCTGAGAGGCAAGTGGGCTCCAGGGTGCAGGGTTGTGGGTTCCAGAAAGGAACCAGGGACCCCCACCCCCAAAAAGAACACCTCTAAACCCTAAACCCTAAAACCCGAAACCTACCTACCCTCCAAAAAGGGCACTTCTAAACCCTAAACCCTAAACCCTAAACCCTAAACCCTAAACCCTAAACCCTAAACCCTAAACCCTAAACCCTAAACCCTAAACCCTAAACCCTATACCCTATACCCTAACCCCTAGTAGCACTTTGCAACCCAGTTTCTGGTTCTCAGACAGGTCCCGGAGCTCTTCCAAGCTCTCCTGCGGCAAAGGGCTTAAAAACGGGCTTGTAGGTTTCGGTTTTTGGGCTTGCAGGACTTTAGGGTTTAGGGTTTAGGGATTAGGGTTTAGGGATTTTGGGCTTGACCAGGGAGTAAGTATGCGGCTTGCCAGGGTTGATTGTCGGCTTTAAGATTAGGGGTTTGAGTTTGACGTTTGAGGGGCTCAGTGTAGAGCACGTGCTTAGTCTTTGAGAGCGCTCTGTATTCTGCAGGGTTTTCGGGTAGGCCCTAAACTTAAACCTCAGAGCCTCTATGAATAAAAGACACCCCTCCACCCACAAAATGAAGGGGTTGAGTTTCAGTATCAGTGATAGATGTGTGTTTTTGGAAGAAGCACCTCCTTCATCAGAAGTCCTGGCGGCCTGGCTTTGGACCCTAAAGCCTAAACCAAAACCCTGCACCCTGAACCCCATCCATAAAAGGGCTGCCCATGAACCTCCAAGTGGGATTTGAAGAAAATGCGATTTCTGATTTACTGGGGATTCTTCTAAGCTTTGAAACAAACAAAGTCGGTTCGTTCTGCTCTTGGCAGCCATTTTCCTTCACATTTTGATGAATCTGAAAACGTTGGCTTGTTCGGTTCTTGTATGAGAATTTCCCAAAATAAGGTATACCCCAAAATACCATAATCCGTATTTTGGGACACACCAAAATAGGTGGCTCTATTTTCGGAAACCCCGCTTGCTTGAGCCATAAGGATGGGTTTGTTGGGAACCTCTGTGACCTCTCTGATTCTCTTTCCTCCTTCAGTGCACGGTTTACGGTTTAGGGTTTGTCCACCTGAGATAGCAAACTCATTGTTGGGCATGCCCACTGGCAAATGACAGACCTGCAAGAATGACATTTATCAGCAGTTGCTCCACCAAATCGAATCGCCAATGTTCTGCTGCAGATGACGAAGAAGCATGGACCTGATCAAAATTTCCCTAAACCCTAAACCCTAACCCTAAACCCTAAACCCACATCCAAGCAGACAGGAGTACCAGCTGCCTCGGTCAAAGCGGCAGGGGCCGTTGGATTTGCAGCTAGGCAATATCGAGTTGAAGGTATGAAGCGTAAACCCTGAACACCGTCAGCCCTAAACCCTGAACCCGCCCGCACACCCGAAAAAGACAACTCCGAACTTGAATCCTAAACACTAAACCCTAAACCCCTAATCCTCCGAACCTCCATACCCCCCAAACCCTAAACCCTGAACCCAAAACCCCAAACCCTAAACCCCTAAACCCCTAAACCCCCGAACCTCCATACCCAAACCCCAAACCCCTAAACCCTAAACCCCTAAACCCTTAACCCCAAAACCCCCATACCCCTAACCCTAAACCTTAATCCCCTAAACCCCTAGACCCTAAACCCCAAACACTAAACCACAAAACTCTAAACCCTAAACCTCAAACCCTAAACCGCAAACCCCTAAACCCTAAACCCTAAACCCCAAACCCCTGAACCGCACGCCCTAAACCCCAAACCCTAGACCCCAAACCCCTAAACCCTAAACCCCTAAACCCTAAACCCTAAACCTCTAAACCCTAAAAAGCCCTAAACCCCAAAACCGCAGACCCGAAGGGCATCGGCGGCTCCTGCCATGTGGGCTCCAGCTCCTTCAGCTCCTCCCAAGAGGGCAGTTTAGGGTTTAGGGTTTGGGGTTTAGGGTTTAGGGTTTAGGGTTTAGGGTTTAGGGTTTGGGGTTTAGGGTTTAGGGTTTAGGGTTTAGGGTTTGGGGTTTAGGGTTTAGGGTTTAGGGGTTGCTCCTCCCAAGGTTCACCGAAGTCGGGTGCCCCAAAAAGGGCCTTGGAGGGTTTGGGGTTCAGGGTTTAGGGTGCGGATTGAACTTAGGCATTCCCCGACACTTCCCCGGAAAAGTGGAGCTACATTCTGGGCCACAAAGGCGATTCAGTCACCCTAGCCCCCCCCCCCCCCCCATACCCCGCCCCGCGCCAAAGGACCAAAGACCAAAGGGGTTTACTGGGAGGCTCATGGGTGGTTATGAGTGGGGTTATGAGTAGGGTAACTTTACTTATAACCTTACTTAAGGCAGTTATAATCCCACTTACAACTACCCATGAGCCTCCAAGTAGGCTTTAGAGTTTACAAAGAGCAATTGTTGAGGATGCGGGCATGTCGTCGGGTTCTAGCAAGGCAGCCAGGTGCGACACACGGACACAGGAGCCAATGTTTTCAGAGCAGTGAGTAGGGTTCAGGGGCTTTAGGGTCTTAGGGTGTAAGGTTCAAGGTCTTAGGTGTTTGGAACCCTATACTTTAAACCCTAAACCCCAAACCCCAAACCTCCAGGACTGCAGATGGTGCCTATGGGTTGAAAGATTCAGCTGTTCAAGATCTACCGGCATCCCCAATTACCTGTATCTACCTAGAGCCACCTGCATAGTCTGAAAACATGGAAAGAAGTACCTTACTTCTTGGTACATGTCCAATCGTTTCAAAGGTATAGGTTGCGCAAGATAGAGGCCTGAAACACACTAGTTTGTACGTAGGGTTTAAACCCTAAACCCTAAACCTTAAACCCTTAACCCTAAACCCTAGTTTTGGGCTGGACGACGGCCATTTTACTTCGCAACAGTGGCGCCTCGTAAGCGCGCGCCGTCTCGGCCAGATTGCTCCGAGCCTCCTGAGATCCAATGAGCAACATGGGCTTAAGCTTAGGTTTCAGGGTTCAGGGTTCAGGGTTCAGGGTTCAGGGTTTAGGGTTTAGGGTTTAGGGTTGGGGTTCAGGGTTTAGGGCTCGGGGTTTAGGGTTAGTGTACCCTTTACAACCCCAGCTAAGTTTCTTGAGAGCCGAGAGAAAACACCGCGAAAAGAATCATTCACAGATTTGTTGTTGCTTGGCTTTGTTCCTGGGGGGCGACGGGAGGGAGGGGAGAGGTTGCTGAGAGCCTTGTTGCCTGTAGGCATGAGGGCACGGGGTTTACTGGTGGGTTGAGGATCTACGTGCTTGTTCCTTAACGCCTAGAGCGGATGTTGCTGTTACACACCCGGGCTCTCTACTCCTAAACCCTAAACCCTATTTCGGGTGGCGGGTTTTGGGGCTGAGGAGGCTTGGGGGCATAGGGTTTAAGGCTTTCGGGGCTGGTGAGTTGCAAAGAGGCCCAATTAGCTCAGCTTTAGGGTTTAGGGTTTAGGGTTTAGGGTTTAGGGTTTAGGGTTTAGGGTTTAGGGTTTAGGGTTTAGGGTTTAGGGTAGCATTCCAACCCGGAAACTCAGCCTGATCACTTCAGGAGCGGGAGTTCCCAGTGCAAAAAAAAGATCAAGGCCGCCCCGGGCCACAAACCATCCATCAACCCGCAAGCAAAACCCTAAACGGGTTTAGGGTTTAGGGTTTATGGTTTAGCGATAAGTAGGGTTACAGGCATACCCTAAGCAGGGTGTTACAATTCGAGCTGCCCTACTAATAAGCCTACTTATAACTGCCTTGAACCTTCAAGTAGTCCTAAACCCTAAACCCTAGATAACAGGGCCTCGCCTCCCCAAACCCTAAACACAGGGCCTCGGGTCTCCCCAAACCCTAAACCCTAAGCCCTAAACCCTAAAACCCTAAAACCCTAAAACCCTAAAACCCTAAACCCTAAACCCTAAACCCAAATTTACAAACCCTAAACCAAAACCCTAAACCCTAAACCCTAAAACCGCACTTCCCTGGCGTCCTCCAGCTCCTTTATGAGGCGGCTGCTCTCCTTCTCCTGGTGCTCGAGCCTCCCAAGCTCTTGGCTTTTAAGGTTTAGGGTTTAGGGTTTAGGGTTTAGGGTTTAGGGTTTAGGGCTAGGGTGTAGGGTTTGGGGCTAGAGGTTCCGTAGTAGGGATAATACTAACCCCCTAGTTTAATCCCCATGAAGGACTGTTAGTATGAGGGGGAGCATCCCAAGCTGAGGGTTTAGGGGTTTAGGGCCTCGGGGCTTAGGGGCTTAGGGGTTTGGGAGTTGGGGTTAGTTTCCTGGCTTTCCTAGACTGGGAAGACAGAAATTCGGAGGTCCCCAGTAACCTGGGATGAGAAAGGCTCCCTCTGAAGTTTGGGCAGTCTTGAAAAGGGAACCCAGGACCCCACAAGAAGAAGGATAAACAGATCCACCGGGAGAACCAGAACACCTGAAACCAAAAAGCCTAAACAATCAGGCTCCAGAGTTTAGGGTTTAGGGTTTCGGGTGTAGGCACCCAAATGCCCTCAACCCTAGAGCAAACAGCCCTAAATCTCAAACGAACTGAGCCACACAACGACAAGTGGCCTCACTTGCACGGCCTTCTTCTGCACACGAACCTTTTCCAGGCCCGACTGGACCTGGCCAGCTTTGGCTTGCCCTTAGAACCTTTTGCGTAAATATCACTTTAATGATCCACGTGCTCGGGTTTTTATAAACAAGAATAAAAATAGAGTCCTAACGGGGCTATCGTGGGTTGAGGGAGAGTACTTGGGGGTTCATGGGTACTTGTAAGTGGGGGTATTAGTAGGGTAACTCTCGTGATAACCTTGTTTAGGGTACCTCTAGCCGCTACAACTATCAGGGCTGAGGGCAGACCGCGAAGTAAGACTTTTCAAATTAGGCCCAAATTAAACCCCCCCCGGCCAGGCCCCCCCCCCCCCCCCCCCCCCCCCCCCCCCCCCCCCCCCACCCCCCCCCCCCCCCCCCGCCAGGCCACCCACCCCTCACCCCCGCCCAACCCCCCACCCCCACCCTCAACCCCCTACCACTGAAAACCCTAAACCCTCCGGAAGAAACCCTAAACCCTAAACCCTAAACCCTAAACCCTGAACCCTTTTTTCTAAGGGAACATAGATCCCACCAAAAGGTGAACAAAAAGGGGCACCAGTGAGCTACCAAGAAGAAGGCCTCAAGGAGCTCGTCGAGGCAGGCCCCCTCTTCCTGAAGCAGCCTGGTGGTAGGGTTTAGGGTATAGGGTTTAGGGTGTAGGGTTTAGGGTTTAGGGCTTAGGGCTTAGGGCTTAGGGCTTAGGGTTCAGGGCTTAGGGTTTAGGTTTTGTTTAAAGCTGTGCTGTGCGCGCGTGCTTGTTTTCGTGCACATTGGCGCCATCTCTGGCCTTCTCAGGTCCCGATATATCGAGGAGTATACTTGGTGGTGTCCTAAGATGCCTAATCCAGGTTGGCTCTGCCAGTGTTGAGGATAGTGTCGCTTTGTGGTCACTTCTAGGAAATACGGTATCTGCTTTCCTCCGCGACGACCTGTGACCCGAATCCTATCCCTGAAAGCCGAAGAGAACACTACATGATGAACTGGGCTGTCTGCAGGTTCTCTAAACAGTGAACAAGTAGTCAGCGACCACTGTCGCCTCGAGCTTCCCCAGGTTGCCTGCGGACGAAGTAGACTTCGTAACAACCATGAGCCAAAAGGCGGCCTGGAACAGGTTAGACATGGCCTGCATGGAGCTCTTCCAATTCAGCTGGATGGCATTCCTCATCGTCATCAACTCACAGGCGACAGTGATGGCGGAAAGCTTCCCGTCCCTTGCCTCCTTCATCATCTTCTTCACGAGGCTGACTATATGGACTCTCAAGCTGAGAGTTGGAGCCACCGAAGCCAGCTGAGAAGCCGGGAAGTGAGCGGCCATCTTGGCCCTCCGGTCTGCCGCACTCCCGACGAGAAAGAAAAAGAGCAAGGGGAACACCAAACCCTAAAACCCTCAAACCCCAAAACCCTAAAGCCCTAAAGCCCTAAGCCCGAAAACCCTAAGCCATACGAACCCCAACGAACCCTGAGCCCAAAGGCTCAAGCAACACGCCGCCTCTCTAGCTAGGCTGCTAGACCCTAAACCCCTCCACTGACATCGGTCGGTTGCAGGTTGTTCTTTTGGGGTGGAAACCCTGAGCCCTAAACCCCAAGCCCCAAACCCCACACCCTAAACCCTGAACCGTAAACCCTAAACCAAAACGCTACACCCTAAACCCTAAACCCTGAAACCTAAACCCCAAACTCTAAACCCGAAACCCTAAACCCAAAACCCTAAACCCTAAAACCCTAAATCCTACCCTTAGAAAAGCCCCAGAATCTTGAAGCCCAGGAGCAAAGCATTGGCATACCGGGTCAGCGCTTCGACCTGACGCTGCGAAAACGCGAATCATGCTAGGGTTTAGGGTTTAGGGTTTAGGGCTAGATTGGGGTTTTGGGTTAAGGGTTCAGGGTTTAGGGTTAGGGTTTGGGGTTTAGGGTTTAGGGTGTGAGGGTTTTCGGGCTTTGGGAAAAGGATGACTGTTCCAACAGCCTTGGAACGATCCGCCCGTTACAGCACCAGCTGCGACAGAAGGACGTGGACTCTAGACTACAAAAAACTTGGACCCCCAAACCCTACTTAACTCCTAAGCGGCTGAAGAAACCCTACACAACCAAACCCCCAGACCCTTAACCCTGTATACCCAAACCCTCAACCCGAAACCCTGAACCCTAAACCCTAAACCTCAAAGGCCCCTGCTTGCGGTCCAGGTGCTAGCGAGGCCGGCGCAGACCCATTCTCGAGCTGGCGAAGCCTTGGGGTCACTGGGGTTCTACCCTAGGATGGCCCTTAGCACCCTCTGAACAATATTCCTGAATATGATCCTCTTGAGCTCAACAAGGGAAAGTATCAAGTGCCCCAAGGGCCTACCTAGTACTTTCAGTAAAACCGCAGATAGCACCCTATATAAAGCTTGGCAAAGCATAACCCTGAAATACCCCCCAAACCCTCAACTGTAAATGGTTTGCACAAGGCATATCCCTCGCATCCCGAGGGCTTCTGAGGGTAGTTTCATGGGCCCTCCTTTAAAAGGGGTTTGATGTATGGGCACTTAATTTGGTATAAAAGGGGTACCCGTATAAGGGCCCATATTAAAGGACCAGGTAACTACCCTTAGACGAGTTCATGGTTGGGATCGTATGAAAAATTCATTTTTCCTTGTTGGGTTTAAGCACCCTTAAAAATGCAAAATGTGACCAAACTACTAGTATGACCAAGTAGAGGGGTGAGGGTGAGAGGGAGGGAGGGGTTATTGTGCTCTCTTGGGTTTCCTTTCCGATGCAGAGGAGCTTGTCGCAGACCACAGCGAGGACCAACTTCTGCTGTTCCTGAGAGCTATGGGGTTTAGGGTTTAGGGTTTAGGGTTTAGGGTTTAGGGTTTAGGGTGGCCCGTTTGCTCTGGGGTCAGCGATGTTTAGGTTGGGTCGAGGGTGATGGTGTAGGCTTTGGGGTTTGTGGTTTAAGAGCTTGGCTTAAGGCTGAGGGCGCTGAGTGTGCAGGTTCAGACTTGGAAAGGATTTAGGGTTTAGGGTTTAGGGTTTAGGGCTTAGGGCTTAGGGTTTAGGGTTTCATGCGGGGCTACCTGCAGCTGCCACAAGCTACTTGAGGGTGGCAAACAAAGTGCTACCGTTGCATCCATAGGGGTCTCCTCGTCTGACCGAGGCCTGTGAAGCCTGTGATCAAATTCTTAGGGGAGAGGATTAGGGAGACCCTTGGGGATATAGACCCTCTGAGTAAGGTCCCTGTTTAAGAGAGCCAGAAGAGGGTTAAGAAGGGGTTCCCTTTTAAGGGTCCCCCTTATCCTACCTAAGAATTCTAGGGATCTTATACACCCTGAGCCCTTACTTAAAAAACACTCCTTTTGGGAGAGGTGTGGGGACTCCTTTGATGTATCACTGAGAAAACATCCGTAAACGTTTCTACAGTGTACCAAACCAAACCGCAACTACTCTCCATTCTAGCCTAAGTCTATAAGGTCCCTGTAAGCACCCTGTACTCCCATAACCAAAAACCCTACACCATATCCCTAAACCCTAAACTCTAAACCCTAAACCTATTCCCTACTCTAGTTGGGGGAAAAAACTTCCGGATCGGCGTCCTTCTTGCGCCTCATGTACCTAGGCTTTTGGGGCTCAGGGGTTCGCACCTCCGCGCCCCCCGCCCCGCCAATCCCCGACCTGCCCTGCACCCAAAGCCCTAAAGGTTTAGGGTTTAGGGTTTAGGGTTTAGGGTTTAGGGTTTAGGGCTTGCAGGATTCAGGGAAGTAGTCACGACACCGCGAGCCCAGCCGCCTCGTCCATGTAGTGGAGGGGCTCGTGGAACATGATGGTGTCATCCTCTTTAGGGATCTTTAGGGCTTAGGGTTTCGGGTTTAGGTTTAAGGGCTAAGGGCTAAGGGCTAAAGGTTTAGGGTTTTAAGGTGTCATCCCCTTTGGGTGGGGCTTTAGGGCTTATAGAGCATCATATTCTTGGGGGCCTTTTGGAGGTGCTTGCTGTGGAGCCAGGTAAGAGTTTAGGGCTTGGGGCGCAGAAAAATAGCTGTGAAGCATGTGGGGTTTGCGGACTATGCTGAGGCTCAAAGATCGCCTTTAGCGATAGGATTCAAGCATTTTGGGCCTTGAAGCCCTAAACCCTAAACCCTAAACTTCATAGGCTCTTGGGCGCAGGGCATTGAGGCTCCTGATTCATTGCTGTTCAGTCGATAGGGTTTAGGATACAAGAAGCAACATTGCGGGCTTTGCCCTGGACCTTTAAGGGTAGCAGGTTTAGGGTTCAGGGTTCAGGGTCTATAGGGGTAGTTTTCTGGCTTCAATTCTTTTATATGCGACGAAAAGGGGTGCCCTGAACGAGGAAATGCAGTTCGGGCTCCATTACGGTGAAAAAGGAGGCACCCCTGAAAGGGAGCCGTCTTATTCCCCTATAAATCCCCTGCATACACCTTATATAGTCCCTATATACCAAAGTAGCCCCCTAAATGACCCTTAAATCACCCCTACGGCCCCTTGTAGTGAGTCCAGGTAGGGTTGAGGGTTTACCCGGTGCATTGGGTGTTTCGGCTTCTGGGCTCTTGGGGATTACAAAAAAGCCCTGAACCCTAAGTAACCCTGAACCCTAAAACCCTAAGGGCTTCTTAGGCCTTTGGACTGCTAGACACCGGAGCTCCGCGGCACTACCTCGGAGCGCCCCTAAACCCCTAAAGCCAAAGGGCTTGGGGTTCAGGGTTTAGGGTAAGGGTTTAGGGTTTAGGGCTTGGGGCTTAGGGTTTAGGGCGTAGGGTAAACCCGGCTACCCCAGACACCAGCTCTAAGGCATGGGCGGGGGCTTGGGTCTCGACCTCATACGGTCTAGGGTTTAGGGTTTAGGGTTTGAAAAGTTTTTGGCTTAGGCTTTCGGGGGACACAACCTATGCTGCAGCTACCACCTCGCCAACGGGAAGGCCCAAGTTACCCTGGCCGTTGCTTGTGCCATCTGTTGGGGTAGGGTAGTGTGAGACCCCCGAAGCCCTGGGAGAGAGAGAGAGAGTAATAATAATAATAATAATAATAATAATAATAATAATAATAATAATAATAATAATAATAATAATAATAATAATCACACACTGTACAACATCATATGGTCCCAAGTACGACCTCACGTTCGGCGCGCCTTCAGCTCATCATTCTCGTGACAGCCATCGCGCATGGCAGCAATTTGCTTCATGGCGGACAGGTTGCCTCAGCAAGGGTTTAGGGTTTAGGATGTTGGGGGTTGTAGGGTTGAGGGTTTAAAGGGTTTAGGGGAACCCTTAGGGTTTTTGGGGTGAGAGTTGAGGGGGTGGGCTATGGTGCCCAAACTAAAACACGATGGTCTGGAGCAAGCATTCCGATCTGGAAGGATCTGAAGCAACCGAACGAAAAAATTGACAGGCAGACAGACAGACAGATAGACAGACAGACAGATAAACAGACAGACAGACAGACACAGTCACACACACAGTCACACACACACACACACGCGCGCACACACACACACACAGGCAAGCAGGCAGGAAGGCAGGCAGACAGACAGGCAAGCAGACAGACAGACAAGCACAAACCCACATGCAAACGGACAGTCGGACACACCCGCACCACAACCGCCACCTCTACCACCTGCAGACAAATAAGGTGCGGAAGGTAGAGAGAAAGAGAAAGAAAGAGAGAGAGAGAGAGTACCTAAACCATTTAACGCATAGCTGAAGGATCGCCGATCTGATATGAAAACCATGAACTCGTGCTGACCCAAACAAAGGACCTTAGAAACCCTAAGCCCCTAAACCCCTAGACCCGTCCAAAGGGGAGTGTACTTGGAGGTTCATGAGTAGTTATCGGTAGGGTTAGAAGTAAGGTAACGACACTTATAACCATTGCCGCAGTTTATCTGGGGGGGGGCGTGGGGGGGGGCGGTAATAGGAAAATATCCTAATACACCTTGCCGGTCTGGACGTGGGGGGGGCCCCCCCACGTCCCAATACAGTGATATGCGATGCCCTTCCCCTGCACATCCATCTGTTTTCTTTCCTTGTCGTTGCTCTGGGTTTCTAAGATAGTTAAACAACAATTCGAGAGACAGAAGGGTCCAGGCTCCTCCCCAAAAAGGAAGAAACTCGATTGGGGTAGGTCATGGAAGTACCCGCCAGCACAGCGCTTCCAATGCCTCCCCCCCCATCTTCCATCCTAAACCCGGTGCTGATGTGGCTGCGTCGGGGGCTGTGGCTAGTGTCCAGGCTTCCTCAGAAGGGTCCAGGGTCCTCCCCCGCGACCCCCGAAATAGGAAGAAGTTGGGGGGGGTAGGTCATGGAAGTGCCCACAAGTACAGTG